GAAAGAGTGAATCAGCAGCAAACACAGCCATGCACACACATGAGAGTGATTGTGTGAGGTGAACACCCAGCAGTGCATTGTGGCCGTTAATGATAAACAGGGACATTTTGTCTTCCATAAACATTTTCTGCAGGCCTTTTAAGAATATTCACTTTCCTGCAGATGGGACAATTTAAGTATAGACATTTTTAAAAATGAGTATAATGCTTCCTACTCCTCTAATTACCAAGGATGTGGGTAATTTAGTCCAGACACTCTAGAACCTAGCAAATGAGAACCCTCCAAATAAAATAAAATAAAATAAAACCATGAAAGAGTCACTGATAAATACCTGCTTGGCTCTTCATGGCACTTGGGTTGTGTTTATACAGTATAACACAACAGGCCTAAGAATAAAAATCCCGAATACAAGTTTCCTTTTTGGTCAAAACTGCCATAGAGTCAGTAGGTTCCATGCTGGTTGGTTGTTATTAAATCTTAACCAAGCAGTTATGACAAAAGCTAAATTAGTGAGTACTTTGGGTTTTACTGCTAGAGGTCTCTCTCTTTTTTTTTTTTTTTCTTCAGCTTTTTGCTCTTGAAAATATAAAATAAAAGATGGTTTGCATGGAGTTTCAAAGCTAAGTTCTTTCCATGGTTGACCTGTGTACATATGCACTATGCATTAAACAAAAAAAATAAATACATAAATGAAACCCAAATCAACTGCCCTTGAGTTGATTTTGTCTCATAGCGACGTTACAGGGCAGAGGAGAACTGGCCTCTATGAGCGTCAATGCTGCAGTCTCTATGAAGGACTCGGCCACGTCTCTCTCCCCCGGGAAGTGACTGGTGAATGCAAAGCCATGACCTTTTGATTAGCAGCCAAGCACTTAACCACTGAGCCACCAAGGCTCCTTCACTATGCACTGTTGTTGTTAAATGCAACTGAATCTGTTCTGAGTCAAAGTGGCCCAAGACAGGGCTTTTAAGGAACAGCTGGTGCATTTGAACCATGGACCATGTGGTTAGTAGTGCAGTGCTTGTCTTACAGTACAGCTACACACTAGGGCTATGCATTAAGTACCCTTTGATCAAAGGAGGGTTATCCACTACATTCCCCCTTTTGTTCTTCTGCACATTATAATGCAGCAAAATACCTCTCCTGACATACAGATCTGATGTGTCTTTTACATGTGAGATATACATTAATCCAGAGGTATGGAACTCTAAATTTCCAGAGTTATGAAAAACTCTGAACTTCCTTCAAAATTACTTTGCATAAGTATTTCACCCCTAGCTCAACCCAGAAAATTAAAGACAAGAAAGTATAGAGATTGAGAACTCCTCTTTGAATATGGAAAACACACATGCTCTCCAAACAGGTTCTACACAGTAAAAGAATTATTTCAGCTAATATAGCGTCTAATATTGATTTCATCTGAAAATAGTTTTTCTGACTTTCTTGCCAGCATTATACAAAACAACAGTATTTCTTCCACCAGGACTTGGAGAGGTTTTTCATCTTGTCTGGAGTCCTACTCTTGGATTTCTTTGGTTGTTGTTGAGTGTCCGAGTATTGAATGCCAGCAACAATGGCTGTGTCAAAGACTTCTTTGAGGTTCTTCTGAGTCAAGGCGGAACATTCTATGTAAGAGGAGGCTTTGATTTCTTCGGCACACAACTTTGCCGCCTCTTCAGGCACTGGTTTCTCTTTGCATTTGTCCAACTCAATGAGGACTTTGACATCTTCTCGGAGATCCGACTGAGTGCCGACCAGGATGATGGGGGCTTTGGGACAATGACAGCGGATCTCAGGCACCCACTTCTCACTCACATTTTGGAAAGATGAAGGGCTCACCACACTGAAGCACAGCAGGAAGATGTCTGTGTTCGTGTAGCAGAGGGGTCTGAGCTTGTCAAACTCATCCTGCAAGCAATCGAAGCATCCAAAAGTTATTATTCTAATCACCTTCCATCAGCAAAAATACCAAGCTTAGCATTTTCCTTAAAAGCATCCTAGCATGTAACAGAAACCAACTGATTGTAGAAGAGATAGTTTTACAAAGACACAATTTAAGTGGAGTCCGTGTTCCCAACATAGACAAAATAGCTGTCTTTTTCAAGGGTCAGTTACGACCGTTGTTGCTATTGTTAAGTGCCACAGCACAGCTGTCAAATACATTTGAGATTCACATAAACACTCATGACCTACTTACAAGTTGGTGTCCTGGCGTGGCATTGTGAGATAAAGCACTGGACCTCAAGGTCTGTTTGAAACACAAGATCTGTGGTTCAGACTTACCAACCGCTCCTCAGAAACCCTATACAGGGTCACTAGGAGTCGAAACTGACTCAACAGCACTAAACAACAACAACTTACATCGTATATAGAGTACAGAGAATAACGGACCAACCCGGAAATGGAATTGATGACCTCTGTTGGATAACACTCTCACTAGCAACTTAGAGAACATGTAACTTTCTGTGTCACGTAAGACAATTCTTGGTACCTTCTCCTTCTTGTTTGATAAATGAGTACCTTCTATTTCTTGTTTCGTCTTCTTTCTGATATATGTTTAATGTTTCTGGTAATTTCCCCATTGCAAGAAAAAGTTAAATATTATCTAGTTCTTTTGTTATTTAACTTTCGTTACTTATAAGCTAATATTTATATATGCATTCTTCCCTGCCCAAGGCCTTTTCTCCAGGCATAACCCTTTATCTGTTTTGTTTGAATGTACTTCCTTTATTTGAAACTCCATATTATAATTGTGGAGTCTTGGTGTGGCGCTCTAGGATAAACACTAGAATGCTAACTGCAAGGTCGGTAGTTCAAGCCCACCAGCCACTCCTTGGAAACCTTCTACATGGTCATTAGGAGTTGGAACTGACACAACGGCATGTAACAACAGAAACTTTTATTACAATTATGGGTCAACAACCAACTAATAAATATTAAAGTCAAAAGCAACAATGATCAGAAATGAGTAAGGCATTTCAAAATATAACAAGCATCTGCCAGTCTTCTAGAGGTAAAAGTTAAAAAAACAATTTAAGCTTCTTAATGCTACTTTTGCACTGGAAGAACACAGAAACTTGGCCAGGTAGACTATAGCTCAGCTCTTAATATATTTTAATTAAATGTTCCCTCTCTTATCAGAAGGCTTCAAAGTAAGAAGCACAGAAAAGAAAAACCAACCAATGAGGTCCGTGTTAAGTCGCCCCTCCACGTAGCTGTTCATGCCACAACTAGAAGGCCAGTCATCCTGGTTATGCCTAGTACTTTGAGTGTACATTGCCAATAAAAAGAAACGAAAGCACAAGAACGCCTGCCGGGGTTTGTCACGGGGGTTTGCAAAGCTGACTTCAGCAGACCTCTTGAGAGTTCGTCTGAAGGACTCACGAAGCAAAAGAGAAACGAAACTCTGCCACTGGTTGCCTGACCAGAAACTTTAGATATTTGCTAATATAAATGGAATACACATAAGTACAATGAGGCCTGCTGGAATGAACCATTCTGGGAAAGGTGTTCTGGGGCCAAGCAAATGCATGTGCTTGCCAGCTCTGCTTCAAAGAAACTGTACAAGATTACATTTGGTGGCGAGGTGCGCACCGGGTGGGGCAGAATACTGGACAGACAGGCAGCTAAATAGTGCAGGTCCCTCTGGTCAAGCAGCAACCTGATTTTTTTTTTTTTTCTCTTCTCCTGAATATGTTTTTTTTCTAAGGACCTCACAAGTCCGAAGATGAAAGAATTTTCAGCTCCCAATGGCAGTCTGCAATGAACTACTCTCCTTTCAAACATACTCCTTTCTCTTATGCCAAAGGTATGTTCCTTAAAGTTCTCAGTCTTTGATCTGTTTCCACTTGGGTAAAACTGTGAGTCAGTGTTAGAAACTCTTCCTAACATTCTACAAACTTGTGTACATTCTAACGAGAAGAGTAAAAAGCACAAAATGCAATGTCTACTTATTGATTCTAACAGTAAGAGCTGAGGCTTTTCTCTCTCACTTTGTCAACTTCTATGTGAAACCCACATTGTAAACTGTCTTTAGGAATTTTCTGTATGCAGATTCTACTGGGATCGGAAGTGGAGGTGGCTAGTGTCATTTCATCAATTCCACGAGGATTTCAGGAGGAATGCTGAGAAGAGGAATGAATTCTAGTAGCAGGGCAACACTAGGAAAATATTGTACGTATCAATACAAGTCTACTAAAAAGTCATTTATCTGAACTAGAGAGAACACAAACAATTCTTCCCAATGATCAGTTTTGCAAATTGTTAAAAGAAATGCATATATATATATATATATATATAGAGAGAGAGAGAGAGAGAGAGAGAGAGAGAGAGAATTTACTGCTAATACTAGATTATATACATGTTTCCAGTTAATAATAGATATATAATATTTTCTGCTAATTAGTACATATGCAAGTTAGCAGGAAATATATATTTATGACTTTTGTTGTGAAGTGCCGTCAAGTCAGTTCCAACCCATAGCGACCCTGTATAGGGTTTCTGAGGAGCAGCTGGTGAGCTTGAACTGCCGACCTTTCAGTTCAAAGGGCTTTGCAGTCTGGCGCATTAACCCACAGCGCCACACCAGGACTCCATATTTATGACTAGTAGCAGGAACTATACATGTATATATATGTATATGTATATATTAGCGTTTCTTTTAACAGTTTGCAAAACTAGTCATGCTGATTATCTTTTCTATTCTAATTCAGGTAAATTACCTTTTACCAGACTTGTGTTGGCACCCACAATATTTTCTTACTGTTGACCCTGCTACTGGAATTGTAGGCAATTCTCATTAACACACAGTGGCCACACCAAGACACTCTCTCTCTCTCTCTCATATATTTATATGGAAAAAAACCCTAGCAACCTGTTTTTATTTTAGTGTCTGTGTAGCCACTCCTTGGAAGGCCCATACCAGGGCGCTGTGAGTCAGAACCGACTCAGTGGCACTTAACAACAACAACATTTATCTATAAAGAAACTCTGGTAACACAGTAGTTCCAAGTCAGGTTGCAAACCTCAAGGTCAGCAGTGCAAAACTACCAGCAGTTCCGCGGGACAAAGTTGAGGGTTTCTGCTCTCATAAAGATTTATAGCCTCGAAAACTATATATGGGGTTCCTATGAGTCGGAACCCAATTGATAGCACTTATCAACAATAACATACATAAATGAAATCACTTTTTTCTGATGTTACTAAAATCTCGGCAGGAGAAAAATGAGACTTTCTGTTCCTATAAAGATTTGCAGCCTTGATAACCCTATTTAGGGTTGCAATGAGTCAGAACTGACTCGATAGCACACAACTACCACCACCACCACCATGTTGTGTTGTTGTCAAGTGCCGTCGAGTCGGTTCTGACCCATAGTGACCCTGTATAGGGTTTCCAAGGAGCAGCTGGTGAACTTGAACCGCCGACCTTTCAGTTCAAATGGCTTTGCAGTCTGGCGCATTAACCCACAGCGCCACACCATATACATACACATATGCATATTGTATATCATATATAAGTATATTATGCATATTAGAGCAGGAGAAAAAACTGGTTATAAGTACATATCTAATTACTTATATAAATAAGCATATTTAAGTGTTTGCTGATAAGTGTCATCGAGTTGATTCTGACTCAGAATAACCCCATAAAGAGTTTCTGCAAAGCGGCTGGTAGGTTTGAAATGTCAATCTTGTGGTTAGCAGTACAGTGCTTATCCTACAGTGCTACACCAGGACTCCTTAAGCATACATAAGTACATCACATATATATTTTGTTAAATGGCGTCAAGTCAGTTCTGACTCATAGCAACCCTATAAAGGGTTTCCAAGGAGTGACTGGTGGGTTTGAACCACCAACAGGAGGAAAAGACTAGTTTTATTTCAATATCTATGTATTGTCCTCCAGAGAAAAATACTTTTTCATAGTTTTTTAAAGTTGGATTTTTAGCTGTTGGTATTATTTAATAGGTATATATTATAAACTATATAAACCTTCAGTAAATCTGGTATGATACATGGTAAATATAATAAAAACATTACAGGGAGGCCAGAAGAATTTCCAATTAACTAAAGCGTAACAATTGAGCACCAAAATCTTTTTGTCCTGCAATTATACACTTTTTTTACATAAAATATTTTTTAAATTATTTTCATGCCCCCCTGAATTTTAAACAAATAAAACTAAGCATGATTGAACTCTTCCTTGGCAATTCAGGATCAGTCTTACAGTTTTTCTGGCAAAAAGTCTTATTTCTCTTTCAAAACTCTGATAAGGCCTCTTTGTTTATGTGAACCTGCCAGTCAGTCTCTTAGCTGATACCACCTTTCTCTCTTCTCTTGTATCCTTTACTCGCTACTATAAATGTGTTTTGTCTTTCCTCTAGACTGAGCTCTAAAAGGCAGGCCCAAGACTTCTCTATGCATTGCACTGAAGCTAGTACTTCATCCTTCATCCATTCTATAAAAGGTTAGTGCTCTATGATAAGCATTAGATTGCCAACCGCAAGGCCAGTGGTTCCAACCCACCAGCTCCTCCTTGGAAGCCCTATACAGTCCCCATGTGTTAGAACTGGCTTGCTGGCACTTAACGACACCACCACTGTGGGCCAGGTAAAGAACACTGGTGGTGCCGTGGGTAAAGCACTTGGACTGCTAACCCAAAGGTTGAAGGTTTGAACCCACTAGGTGCTCCCAGTGAGAAAGATGGGGCAATCTGCTTCAGTAAAGATTTACAACCTCCGGAGCCCTGTGGAGTACTTCTACTCAATCCCAGTGCCACAAAGAGGCAGAACTGACTCAGTAGAAATGAATTTGGGTTTAGCGTGCCAGATCCTGACCCTCCCACCTCTGGAAGGTGAGTATGGTGTGGAGAACTCACATCTGACAGAAGAATGTCCACTGGGCAGTGGAATTTGCTATGTTGCTTGCTTCTCCCCTCAGAGGCCTCTGACAGCAATATCTTTAGATTTCCTGGGTTCCTCTGTCTTATGGGTATTTCTCAGGCTCTGAGCTAGCTACTCTGCCTGCTCATATAAAGGTCAGAAAACCTACTCATAATAAGAAAATGTTCTCACTTTATTCAAAGCAATTAATATTTAATTAAACATACTAGTATGACATTCTAAAAGATTAAATGCTAGAAGAGACTGTGTTGTGATTTTTTTTCTTTCCATAAGCATTAGCATCCAGATTGTTTTTGTCTTTTTTCTACTCATGGTGAAGGGAAAGCTGAGGTGTTTCCACTTTTAGGGTAAGGGACAAACTGGTGAGGCTGCAGTACAACTGCTATGGCCACTGCCAAACTGGGGCTGAGCCAGGACAGCAAAGGCCACCTTTAAGTTTCAAAATAAAACCTGTCCTCAGCACAGGTAAGCCACCTGGCTTCCCCGTGGGTTTGGGGGACCCTGGAAAGGCAATTTGTTAAATGCATATGGTCAGGTGATAGCTTCAGCAGATGAAGCTACCTGTCTATGAGGAACTTACCACCACTCTCCCTGAGTCCCGCAAGTACTGGAGAGATGAGACATCTAGTAACCCGCTACTTGAGCAAACTCAGGAGGCACACATCGTATTGTATAAGGTTTATAAGGCAAAGCATGACTCCAACGACTTGAGCATTTGTTTTATGGCTATTTCATGAGATAAAGAGCACCCTGAAAATTCTTCAGTAGAACACCCCAACGGAAAGTCACCCAGACCCGTCCCTTGTCTACACTTTCTCCATCACTCCCTGATAAGTTTTTTTTTTAATATAAAATGAAAGGATTTAATGAACTACATGAAAATGGTAGTCTTATCATTACACTTAGTCTGATTTACCATGGAAACAAGAATCAAAAAACTACCAAATGTTCTCACTTTCAAGGTAGCAAATAAACATCATATGACAATTAATACTATTAGGCTATCCCTGTTAAGTTTTGTCTAAGTGGCTGGTCCTTATGACAAGAATAAATGTTTACAGTAATTTTGAAAATAATAAGTCTTAGTTTAGCTTAATTTAGGACATATCAGCATCTGCACCTTTGTTTAACGAGGACGGGGTTAGTCCTTAGTGAGCAAAATCATAAATTACTAAGGGGAAATAGTAACACTCACTAACTATCCAAAACACCATCTTAAATATTTAATTCTCTGTCCTTTAACATAATTACTATTAGATATTGCCAACTTATTTCAGAAATAATTACAAAGCATTACTGATCCATGTTAATAGTAAACAAAAGTCAATGATATTAGAAGTCTCTATAAGATAAGAGTTGTTTCTCTTTCCTGCTCACACTGAGCTTGGCCAGATCCTGTTTGATGATTGAGTCCCAAAGTGCATTGCTTCCTCCCCCCAACTCCCACCCCCACGCCGTCCTCTTTGAGGAGCTGCCAGCAAGGGTGAGTTTACTTCATGAGGCTTTAGAATGACCCAGTTACTGAAGAAATCATTTGGAAACTCATAAAAAGCTATTTGGAAACCCCTAAACGGTGATTTCCTTTCCCTGGACTAAGCAGTAAAGTGATACTGACCTGGCCAGCGGTGTCACAAAGCTGAAGTTGCACAGGTTGCCCATCTACAGACACCACAGCTGGAAAATGAGAACAAAATGACCATCAAACCGAAAGAAGGTGGTAGAGGAGTCAGACTTTTCGTCTGTCCTCCCATTTTTGCTTCAAATCCTTCAACTCCTCTTCTCCGTCCTTTAATGAATGAAAGACTTAACTAAAACAAAGAAATCCGATCCAAGGCAAACATTTTAGTATATAAACCCTTCAGGGCTCCACAAGTCACTTCACCAAAGCAGATGAGGCAGCAAATCACTGCGCTCTTTGATGGCACCAGAATGGCCCTTCCCTTTCTTTGGAGCCCAAGATTTATCTTCCTGTCACACTGGTTTCAAAGGACCTAAAAACAACACTGGGGCTAAGTGGGAACTAACCTGGCCTTTTAAAATTGGTGGCAAACCTCACAAATAATTGTTTCCCTTGGGAAATGTTCCTGAGTTCAGGGTTTATCATAAAATCCTACCTTGTTTTGAGAACATGTGCAAATACAGACTGCCCTCACTGTCCTGTTGATGAACCATGTTCCTCCCTATCTCCCTTAGCCAGTTCAGAGAATTAAAGAGAAAAGAATGAATCTCATAGTGCGGACATATGATGGTGTGCAAGAAAATGGGGCCTTCATTTGGGAGGCTTTAGAAGTTTTTATTTGAATTAAGTAATTTTTTTTTTTAATGACCGTTTTGTCTCAAGATTTGTAGACTATTCTAAGTGTTTATACCTAGTCGGTATCAGAAACAAACACACAAAAATATCATTTAGGTTGGGGGACTCACTCGAGTGACCCTACTGCCACGGAGTAGATTAGTGGATTCTAACTCTTGGTAACCTCGCAGGACAGAGAACAAACTGTTCTGTGGAGTTTCCAAGGCTGTAATCCTTCCTGGAGAACATGGTTGGTTTGGTTAGCAGCTGAGAGTTTAAGTACTGCGGTCGGCACCAGGACTCCTTAAGACTGAATCTAGGCTGCGATAGGAGAAATCACGGCCCCATCATACAGCAGGTAGACCTTTGGAAATATGGTCAGTGAAACAATATTTTTTTAAGAGGGGCAAGAATATAGGTCACTCAGTAGATTGTAAATGTTTTTCCTGAAATTTCAAAAAGACTTGAAATATTCATTAAAAGGATTCCCTTAGCTTTGTAGCTACCAAACCATGGGATATTCCACCCAATATGAGTGTTTTAAGTAGCTTAAAGAGACACTGAAAAGGTTCTTGTGTGTCACACAGTCGATTCTGATTAATTGTTGTTAAGTGTCATCCAGTTGGTTCCAACTCAGGACTCATAGTGACCCTGTTTCGGGTTTCCAAGGAGCAGCTCATGGTTTGAACTGCCGGCCTTGTGGTTCTCAGTCCAGTGCTGATCCTACAGCGCCACACCAGGAGTCTGATTCATAGCGACCCAAAATGGTGGAGTACTGCTGTCCCATGGGGTGTCCTAGGCTGTAGTCATTACAGGGGCAACATTTCCGGTCATTTCTTCTGTGGGTGAGTTAGCAGGGTTGACCTTTCGGTTAGCAGTTTAGAGTTGAACCACTGCGCTCCTAAGGCTCCTTCGCATATCCTAGACTCCAGAAATTGAACTGAACTCTGAATTGGATCCATTTCCCAGCTAGAGCTTAGCATGATGCCCTGCCAACCCCCTTGGAAGTCCTCCAACATCTTAAAAGTGTTCAGTCAGGTAGCCAGTCCCTTTCTAATACTCTGTTAACGCCATTGTCCTGAGCAGCTGCTAATGTTAACTCTCAGCCAAAGTGTTTCTTGACAGCCCCTGAGCCCAGATGGATGCCCACCCCACCCAACCCCCACAACACACACAGGCCCCCCATTCCCAGCCCCAATGGCCCCCTAGGCAGTCTCACCGGAGAAGTTGTCGAAGGCAGTGGGGATGTATTCGGTGGGGTAGCCATTGGTGGTATAGCTCACCACCAGGCTTGTTTTCCCCACGGCGCCATCTCCGACCAGCACGCACTTGATGCTGCGCCTCTCGGCGCCGCCAGCCCGACAGCGAGAAGCTAGCGCTGCAGTTCTGCCGCTGCGCACCCTGCGCGGAGGCACGGGCGGCACCTCGCAGCCACAGCAATCCGCCACAGGCTTGCTGATGTATTCTGGGTTCCCTTGATGCGGCGGCATTGAGCTCTCAGTCTCGAACGTGGAAGTGAAAGGATCTAGGGGGACCAGTGGCTGGAGACGGGGGAACAAGAGGGGCCCTGGATCTCCGAGGGCCAGCAGCTCCTTCCCTTCACCACAGCTGCCGAGCGCCTGGGGCGTCCTGGGATCCCGCGGGCGTCCACGCCGCAGGTACTGGAGACAGAGGTGAGAGGGTATGGTCCGGCCAATGACTCCGTGTCCCCCTTCCTCCTGAACAGGCGTGCTGGTGAGCGACGGATGCCCACCAGGGACCGGGGAAATACCCGCGGCTACTCTGCCCCTCGCCCTAAGGTTCACGTGCGCCTGGAGCAGGGCTCAGGTAGGCAGGATTCTATCCTAGATCGTGGGCTGTGGCCCTCCAATCTCCACGAAAGCGGCCAATCCAGATTCTTCTGCTCCGAGACAAAGGCAATCCTGGGGAGGGTCGCGGATAGCACGCTGGTGTAGGAGCGCCTCTGGCTTGGTTTGTAGGGCGCGGAGAACTGTAGCCTAGGATCTGAGCCGAGCACCTCCTCTCCCGCCGCTCCTCCGTGACACAACTCGTGGGGTGCGGACCGGGAAGGGAAAAAAGGGGCGGCCCAGCACGCGCGGCGGTGGCGACGGCTCCCTCTCTGGCCGAGGCCACAGCGCACTCTGCCTGCGCGCTGAGCCGCTGCACCTCTGGCCGAGCTAGTTCGTCGCCGGGCGCGCACACAGAGACTTGAAAGCCGTCTCACTGAGGGCGCGGCCGTAACACTGGGCAGCTCCCTCCGAGTCCCGGAGCCCGAGTGAAGCCGCCGGCGCCAATTGGCTGGACGGTTCTCCGCCCCTCGCTCTTGAGGGGGCGGAGAAACCCAAGCCACCGCCTTTTTTCTCACAATGTTCCCACCTCCCTGGCTGTGGTCTGCTCACCAAGTTCTTCACCCGCTTCACCCGTTTCCCCAGACCCTCCCCGCGGGGACCGCCTACATCCCAGCTAGCCCGGTACCCTGCTGTCTGTCTCCATTCTTGGCTGTGGTGTGAAATTCTCTGATCCTAGCTCTCCACCCAAGGGAGGGAGAAAGATGTGTCTGGGGGCCAATTTCTCTACAAGAGACTGGATTAACATACGAAAGTTTTGTTCATTTCTTTCTTTAAAAAAAAATTTTTTTTTTTAATTTTAAAAGTCTGGCTATAGACCCAAAGTGTGAGTTTTTTTTTCTTTTAATATAGCATTTTGGGGTAAAACTTCATTTTAAATGCTGATGTGCCTTTCGGCATACGATAAACCTTTATACTTTTATGGTCTAGCAACTTTCCTTATAGCCCCAATTGCTTCATCTGCTTAAATGATATTCAGGGCCATTAATATTCCCTGAAAACAATAATACAATATCTTTGACGCCCTCCTGTCTTCCTCGCACAAGATAAATGTATAGTACATTTTTTATGAGACTCACATGAAATATTAAGTTAAGTGCCTTCAAGTCGATTCTGACCCTCAGTGACCCTATACAGGGTTTCCAAGGAGCAGCTGGTAGGTTTGAACTGCTAACCTTGTCCTACAGCACCATGGGGGGGGGGGGGCACCTGACATATGAGTGCTCTGAATTCCCTTGTGTGGAAGGACACAAACCTGTAACAGGATCACAAGCAACATATTTATCTCAGTGTGTATTATAATTCAAATCTTCCTACAGAAACTATAATCAGTTACAAAATTGAAGTGGTCAAAGAGTACAAGGCTAAAAAAATGTAGCAAAAAAAAAAAAAAAACAGTATTGTAAAGGTGTGCTTTGCCAAACTTTGTCATGAGATCTGTGGATTATCTTTCAAATCTTCCTTTAGAAAATATAGTCAGTTACAAAATTGAAGTGGTCAAAAAGTATGAGGCTAAAAAATGTAGAAAAACAAAGTATTTATAAAGGTTGTTGTTTTTACGTGCCATGGAATCGGTTCCTACTAATAGTGACCCTGTACAGGGTTTCTGAGGCTGTAAATCTTTACGGGAGCAGAACGCCTCATCTTTCTCCCATGGAACAGCTGGTAGTTTGGAACTGCTGACCTTAAGGTTCACAGCCCGATTCGTAATCACTACGCTACTGTCATGAGATCTCTAGCATCAGTTCTATCATCAGGGCCATGTTTTCCAGCTACTAATTTTTCCTCTTTGTTTTCTAACTTTCTGATCCAAATCACCAACAATTATCAATGCATCTTGATTGCATGTTTGATCGATTTTAGATTGCAGAAGTTAGTAGAATTCTTCATTTTCTTTATCACTGATTAATGCATAAATTTGAATAATAGTCCTATTAACTGTTCTTTCTTCTAGGCTTATGGATATTATACTATCACAGACAATGTTCTTTTTAATGATTAATATGACACTATTCTGCTTCTAAGGAGTTCTGGTGTGGCGCTGTGGATTAATGCACCAGACTGCAAAGCTGTTTGAACTGCAAGGTCGGTGGTTCAAACTTACCAGTCACTCCTTGGAAACCCTATACAGGGTTGCTATGGGTCAGAACTGACTCAATGGCACACAACAATTCTGCTTCTATTTGTCATTTCTGGCATGGTAAACCATATGACTCTCTGGTTAAAGAATGGCAAATACTTGCGTTTAATTGACTACAAAAAGACATTTGACTGTGTACATCATAACAAACTATGGATAATATTATGAAAAATTGGAATTCCAGAACACATCATTGTGTTCATGCGGAACCTATACAAAGAACAAGCGGCAGTCATTTGACTAGAAGGGGTTACTGTGTGGTTTAAAATTAGGAACGGTGTACATCAGGGTTGTATTCTGTTACCATGTAATTTTATTCAATCTGTTTGCTGAGCAAATAATCTAAACCCTGGATTATATGAAAAAGAATGGGGCTTTAGATTGAAGCATGTCTCATCTACAACCTGTATATGCAGATGACACAACCTGGCTTGCTAAAAGAGAAGAGGACTTGAAACATGTACTGAAGAAAATCAAAGACTACTGCATTCAGTATAGATTAGACCTCAACATAAAGGGAAAAAAAAAAAAAATCCTCACAACTAGACCCATAAACATCACGCTAAACATAGAAACTATTAAAGTTGTCAGGAACTTCGTTTTACTTGGCTCCACAATCAATGCTGATAGAAGGGGTTGGTGGTGTTCTTAGGTGCCACTGAGTTGGTTCCTACAGAGAGCATCAACATGCACACCACAGAATAAGGCTTGGTCCTGTACCATGCCCACATCCGTTCTTACACTTGAGCCCACTGTTGCCCCAGTATACCAAACCATCTCGTTGAGGCTCTTCCTCTTCTTTTCTGATCCTCCACTTTACCAAGCATGATGTCCTTCTCCAGGGACTGGTCCCTCCGCGAAACGTATCTGGAATATGAGAGACCAAGTCCCGCCACCTGGATTTGAAGGAGCATTCTGGCTATACTTTTCCTGCACCACATATTTGTTCTTCTGACAGTCCATGGTATTTCAATATTCTTCTCCAAAAATCTAACTCAAATGCATCAATTCTTCTATGGTCTTACTTATTCATTGTCCAATTTTCATATGCATATATTGTTGTTGTTGTTAAGTGCCATCAAGTCAGTTCTGACTCATCACAACCCTGTATAAGGTTTTCAAGGAGTGGCTGGTGGGTTTGAACTGCCAACCTTGTGATTCACAGTCCAGTACTGATCCTACTGCACCATACCATATGAAGCTATTAAAAACACCTTGCCTTGGGTTAGGCACACCTTAGTCCTCAAACTGACAGCTCTGCTCTAAAACACCTTTAAAGAGGCCTTGTGCAGCAGATTTGCCTAATGCAATACGTCATCTGATTTCTTGACTGCTGCTTACATGAGCGTCGATAGTGGATCCACACAGAATGAAGTCTTTGACTTCAATCTTTTCTGCATTTATATGGATGTTGTTTATTGGTCCACTGGTGAGGATTTTTGTTTGCTTTACATTGAGGTACAACCCATACTGAAGACCGTGGTCACTGATCTTCATCAGTAAGTATTTTAAGTCCTCTTTGCTTTCAGCAAGCAAGCCTGTATCATCTGCATATCACAGTTAATTAATGAGTCTTTCTCTAATCCTGAGGCCATGTTCTTCATTAGATAATAAAGTTTCTCAGATTATTTGCTCAGCGTACAGATTGAGTAAATATCGTGAAAGAATACAACCCTGTTTTTAAACCATTCAGTGTCCCCTTGCTCTGTTCCAGCAACTACCTCTTGGTCTATGTACAAGTTCCTCAGGAGCACAATTAGATGTTCCAAAATACCCATTTTCCATACTGTTGTCCATAGCGTGTCATGATCTAGACAGTGGAAAGCCTTGGCATAGTCAAAGCACAGGTTAACATCTTTTGGTATTCTCTGCTTTCAGCCAAGATCCATCTGACATCAGCAATTACATCCCTCATTCCACATCCTCTTCTGAATCTGGCTTGAATCTCTGACAGACCCTGTCAATTTACTGTTGTAGCCAAATTTAGCAAAATTTTACTTGCATGTGATATTAATATTGTCTGATGATTTGTGAAGTTGTTGGGTTAATTATCTTTGGAATGGGCACAAATAAGGATCTCTTCCAATCAGTTGGCAAGGTATATATCATCCAAACTTCTTGGAATCGTTAACTAAGTGCCTGCAATGCTGCATCAGTTTGTTCAAAGATTTCCGTTTGTATTCCATCAATTCTCAGTGCTTTGTTCCTTACCACTACTTTCAATTCACCTTGTACTTCTTCCTTCAGTACCATTGGCTTTTGATCATATGCTACCTCATGAAGTGATTAGACATTGAGCAATTCTTTTTGGTACAGATTCCTTCCATCTTTTTTGGATGCTTTATGCATCAGTCAATATTTTGCCCCTAGAAACCTCCAATATTTCAAGTTGAGGCTTGAACTTTTTATTCAGTTCTTTCAGCTTGAGAAATGATGAGCATATTCTTTCCTTTTGGTTTTCTAACTCCAGGTCTTTGCACATTTCATTTATAATACTTGACTTTGTCTTTTCTAGCTGTCTTTTGAAATTGTCTGTTCAGCTCATTTACTTCCTCATATCTTCCATTTGCTTTAGCATCTCTGTGCTGGAAAGCAAGTTTCAGAGTCTCTTCTGACATCCATTTTGATCTTTTCCTTCTGTCTTATCTTCTTAATGACCGTTTACTTTCTTCCTGTATGATGTTATTGATATCATCCCATAACTCTTCTGGTTTTCGGTTATTAGTGTCTAATGCATCAAATCTGTTCTTCAGATAATCTCTGAATTCAGGTAGGATAAATTCAAAGTCATATAGTCATATTTTGGCTGTTGTGGACTTTTTAAATTTTCTTCAGGCTCAGCCTGAACTTGCATGTGAACATTTAATGGTTTGTTCCATAATCTGCCCCTGGCCTTTTTGAGCATATGGAACATCTCCACCATCCAGGCATCTGGTGGGGTCCATATGTATACTTGTCTTTTATGTTATTTAAAAATTAGTTTGCAATGAAGAATTCATTGGTCCTGCAAAATTCTGGCCTGTGATCTCCAGCATCTTTTTATAAAAAAAGGCCATATTTACCAAGTACTGAACCCTCCTCCTTGGTTCCAACCTTTGCATTCTAATCGCCAGTAATTATCAATACATCTTGACTGGCTGTTTGATCAACTTCAGACTGAAGAAGTTGGTAGTATTCTTGAATGGCGTCATCACGGGCTTTAGTAGTTGGTGCATATATCTGAATAATAGTTGTATTAACTGTTCTGCCTTGTAGGCGTATGGATATTATCCTATTATAGACAGCATTATATGTCAAGAGAGATCTTGAAATGTTCTCTTTGATGACAAATGTGTCACCATTCGTCTCCAATTTGTCATTCCTGATGTAGTAAATCATGTAATTGTAAAATTCAAAATAGCCAA